ACTGTGGTCAATGACATGAGACAAAGTATATGTGAACTGCTGTATGAAAAGTGAATTTGCTCTGTAAATCTTCACCCAAATCACAATAAATTAAAAAAAAAAAAAGTCAAATGAACAGATAAGTTAAATAATAAAAATTATTGATGAGTTATTTTGCATTCTTTTCTTTTTTTAAAACTAACTTCAAGTTCCAGTGGATATAGTGAGAATAGTGACTACCGTTTTGAGTTGCATAAGTCTAGTAGCTTAAATGATGTGCCATTCAAACTTAACTCTATCATCTATATGCAATTGATTTTTTAGTATATCCTAAGGTAGCAAACCTAGCAAGGAAACTTTGTAGCTTATAGGGTCAAAGAAGATCTTGAAGAACCAGAGGCGATCTGAGTCCTTTAGCCACTAATATAGGGCTCAGTGATAACAGGACATTTTAATTATCTCTAATCTCTGAATGTTCTCTTTTGTTCCATAAGGATTTTCTTCACATAGTAGGGAAAAAGACCGATAGTAATCTGAGATCACATCTTTATAACTTTCAATACAAGAGAAAAACTAATTCAATTTCTGTTGGCAATGTCCTACCTCAGGTCAATTGCATATACCCTGTGGCCAGTGGGACAATTATTTTTGGACGAACCTGGCTTGTAGGTTATATGCTCATATTTGTAATTATGATGAAGAATGTGTGAGAGGATAAATTCAACTACAAACCCAATGCCAAATCCGTTTTTTCCTGATACCAACTATGAGGATAATAATCAAATAAATAAAATTCTCCACTTTTCACTTCTTTGTTCAGTTATGATACTAGCTGCCCAGTTTGCATTCTGTCTCTGACATGGAGCCAGGTCAGATCTCACAAGTTAAAAGGACATAGTCCTTCTGACTGCTAAGTAGGTACAAGTCTTCAGTTACCAGCTTCAAGTTCAGGAGTCCATACAACACCATAATTTCTGACTTACTGGCTACAAATTTGGTATTTTGGGGACGGCAGCTGCAAGTCCAAGTGTTCCCAGCTTCCCTCACTTCTGACCTACTTGCTTCCATTATTCTTTTCAGGTTGATGCATCACTTGAATGACTCACAGAACTCATGGAAAGTGGTATATATTATTACAGCTTTATTATTGGAATACTGCCAAAGTGACAAAGAGGCTGCATCTGCTGACCTTCTCTAACCGCACAAGATGAAGACAGAATCACCATCAATAGCCCAAGGCCTATTCCTGTGAGGCCAGATATTCTGCCTCTCTCCAGCCCTTTCATCAATCCTGATACCAACCATTCCTCCCACAGTACCCACTACCTTTCTGCTGGGTTTGATAATTCACTGCAGTGGCCACACAGAACTCACAGATTATGGGGTTTAATAGGGAAGCACCAGGCTACAATTCAAGTTTAGGAACAAAGCTCAGTCTCTCTAAGCCCGCCATCTCTCAGCCCACCGTCTCTTACAGTCTCTCTCCCAACATTACGTGTCTCTCCAAGTCTCTCTCAGCAATGCATGTCTCTTGTGTCTCTTTTTTAGCAATGCATGTCTCTCAGGAGCATGTTTATCTCAGCAGCACATCCTTCTCATCCAACAGTCAGAGAGACTCCTGCCTCTAGCAGGACTCCTTTTGAGCCTGGCAGAGTGGTCAGACTAACCAATAATAATATCAGAATTCTAAACACCTGAGAGAGCGAACTTCCCAGAACATTGCTTAGCTCCACTTGCAACAGAAATACCCCAGGTGGATAACTTTAACAATCAGGAGCTGCTCAGTTGCTCACGGCAAATTCCACCATGGAGTTTACAAAGACTTATTAGTGATAATGCCTTGGAAACCCAAGGAGGGGTCGCTATGAGTTGGGGCTGACTTGACGGCACATAACAACAACAACAACAACATGGGTAGAAAAGCCATACCATGGAATTTACTACACCACAAATACAAATATCTAGATCAGCAAATGTTAGACACATAGAGCAAAATCTAGGAAGGTTCACAACATGAAACTTCCATGTCCCAAAAAGAGTTGCATTACCCTCAGCAGTTCAAACCCACCAACTGCTCCAAGGGAGAAAAATGTGGCAATCTGTAAAGATTTACAGACTTGGAAACACTGTGAGGCAGTTCTACTCTGTACTATAAGGTCACTAAGAGTTGGAATCTACTCGTTAGAATGGATTTTGTCTCCTGAGACAGATATTTTTCACTAACTAGAAAGCCTAAGTTGATTGATTCAGTGTCCAGAGCTTTTATTGGGGAGCTCATTACATTATGCAAAGTTTAGTCTCTCTCCTCTGAGACTGATTAACATCATCACAAAGTGATTATGAGGTGTAGTTCTACAGCCTGGACACCATGACATGATCATCATGAGATAAATCCTTGCCTGGCCAGCCCCTACCCAAGAGTCACTTCATCACTTCACCTACTCTGTTAGGTGTGGTCTGGAGTCCTTAACCAAAAAAAAAAAAGCTCACTACCATTGAGTCCATTCTGACTCATAGCTCATCTTTTTTTCTGTGGAGAGGCTGGTGGGTTCAAACCACCGACTGACTTTTGGTTAGCAGCCAAGTACCTTAACCACTACACAACCAGAGCTCTGGACACTGAATCAATGGGAAACCCACATGGTGTTAACAGTAAAGGATTGTTTCTACAGTATATCAAGTCTATTTCTTTCATAAGATGCTTGTAGGGAACCAAGTACATAGCACTAAATAAATATTTGTTAAGCAAATAACACTGGCATTGTCTTTTAATTTGTCAGGAATATTTAAAATAAGAACTAAACCAGGACAAAAAATATAAATACATTTGCTTTGAACTCATTTTTATGATGTAGAAACATGTGAACACTATCCAAATTCTTAGTTTACAAGTTTAGGACTACTAATTATAAGGGCTTGTTAACATTTTCTTTGTAACCTGTATTTTCTGCAAATTTCTAGGTGGCTAGAAAAGTTATAATGATGTCTTTGGTAGTTATGTGCAGTTTTTATGGAATTTTTGAATCTGACTCTCTCTTACATTATAGTACAGCCCTTTTGACCATTAGTATAATTTCAACAACATTTCTTCATAAATACATACATCTTCTTAATTCTGCAAATAAGGAGGGTGATACTTCATGTTGAGATGACCTTTTCTTAGTCTCAATTTATTAGTCATTTAGAACAAAATTTAAAATTGAAGTGTGATTCTGTTTAGTACGAGGTGGAGGGTAGTGGCCTGAGTTTCATAGAGGTGATATGTCCCCTTTCTTTTCTCCAGTATGAACATTAATCAGGAGAATTACGTGAACAGAAGGACATGTAGGAGATGGAAAAAGTAGGAGGACAATCTTCCTTTAGTTTCTTTTTTAGGAGTTTCAATGAGATTGAGTGAAGAAAATACCTGTTTTTATGTTTTGAAAGATACAGCATATGAGAAAAAATAACTATTTTGGCTTAATAAACACCCTGACTTGGTACAGTTAAAGCAAATTCTATGGGATTTAGGTAGATAATATAAAAAAGACATGATATTGCCTCAATTATTGTATGGTAGAGCATTGCTATAATATATAATTTTCTCAGGGGCCAGTGTACAGAAAATAGTCTGACTTTCACGCTGCTTTCCCAGTGTTGTGAGGTTCAGAAGCATATTTAAAGGTATGTGTAAATATAGCTTCAGGGTAATGATAACTAAATCCAAAACCACTTATAACCAATGCCAAAAGTCATATATAGGAGTTCTTTGCTTTGTTTTTTGTTTTGTGGACACTTAATGTTTTGCCTTTCTTGCTCTTTCAAAGTAAATAATTTAATCTTAGCTTACATTTTTAATGCATTTACAAATGATACTCATGCTATAACGGTAGTTCATACAGTTTAGAAAAAAAGCAATACGTAATGCTATCACTATCCACAACTATTATTCTGTGTATTATTTTTCAGGCTTTTGCTATATGCATGTTTTTATGTAATTGTGATTTTTGCTTAATTAAAAAAATATTTTTTTGTAATTCAAGAGAACAAAATGCAAATGATTAATATATGTCTTTTACTTAGTTTAGAAAATCATCTAGTAGTGATAAAAAAACAGAAAATGACTATTTTCTGGGGTCACTGTGATTTTTAAAGTTTTCGTGCTCTGATGATAATTTTAAATTCTAGTTTATCATGGGTAGTAAGAAAAAGTTTTCTTTTGATTATAAGTAATGCTTATAATTGCTATGTGTGTGACAGTAACTACATAGCATAGAATCATTCTATTTTTGTAAGCACGGGATTTGACAGTTACTAAAAACCCCTCCTCCAAAAAAAAATAATAATAATAAGCAGGATACAAATTATGAAACCTAAATTTTGTTATAAACCATGTAGCTTTGGGTTACGTTCTAGTGTGAAAACAGTAGTGTATAAAATGTCTTTACGTACAGGATAAAGGAAAAAAAAAGAAAAAGAGAAAACAAACTCCTTACAATGAAGCAGTCTATTTCCTGTTTCATTTTCTTTCGCTTTAAAAAGCTTTTGTTCTTCACTAGAAGTTGCTTCAAATTTCTGGGAAGGTCTGTTCCGCATTTACTATTTCTGGATTGGTTAAGATTCCTTTTAAGTATGTGCTTTGTTCTCTGAAAAGCTTAGGTCAGTTGAGCAACATGCTGCTACTGTTTGTTTTTTTTTTTTAAAAAAAAAAAAAAAGAGCTGAGTAATGCTGGAGACTTCTCATGTGGCTGATGCAAACCTGGAGAATTTGCATCATCACTTAGCTGGAGTAAATTGGCGTGACAGGCGGGAGCTTAAATACAAGCCCATGAGGAAGCTGAGCTGGTATGTAATGATAGGGCGGCAGCAGCAGCCACAGCAGCAGTGGTAGTAGGAGGAGATGCAGAACCGAGAGCACCATTCACACACAGGTGTTTCTGAGTAGTAATTAGATAGCTGTGAAAGATAGAATACACCTTTGAGTTTTCACCTGTGAACACAATAGCACTGAGACAGACAATCTGAAGGCAAAGAGGAAGGGATTGTTCAGTCCCATTAAGAGACACCAAAGTTGAAAGTATTTTTCTTCCTGTTTTGTTTTTCCCCTGTGTACCACTACCATGGTCAGAAAGCCTGTTGTGTCCACCATCTCCAATGGAGGTTACCTGCAGGGAAATGCTAACAGGAGGCTACCTGCTAAGGGTGGCAAGGAGCCACCTGGGCAGGAAAAAGTGATGCTGAAGAAGAAAATCACTTTACTGAGGGGAATCTCCATCATCATTGGCACCATCATTGGCGCAGGAATCTTCATCTCTCCTAAGGGTGTGCTTCAGAACACAGGCAGCGTGGGCATGTCTCTGATTATCTGGACGGTCTGTGGGGTCCTTTCACTATTTGGTGAGTGCATCTTCTTCTTTGGGGGTGTAACTTGGGCTAAGCAGCTTGCTCTCTGGGGAAGCAAGGGGTAGTTTTTAGAGTGAGTGGTAAAGGTAGCACCAAATTGTCTGATTTTACTTAGGTATCTGAATTACTCACATACAGTATCTACTGTTAGCATGATCCTGAATTGCTTCCTGCAGGCTGTAATCTCTTTTCCTGACTAAGACAAAGTATTTTTTATGATTTTTTCCCTGTGGTGATGAGAGCAAAGGCTCACTTTGATGACCCAGTAAGATACACAGGAGCTGTCTGCACTGGGCAGTTGTGCTTAGTTACGTATGTTTGGGGTGTCCTGGCAGCTGGCACACTTGAATGAAACACCTGTGAAGTGAAGCCCAGCATGGCCTAGTTAGACACAGAACGGTGTGCTCAGCAGAAGTTTCACTGACTTTTATTGGCAAAACAAATGGGTAACAGTATTTTCTTTTTAATTCTTTAACTCCATATGCTTGCCAGTTCCTAATATTCAAAAGACCTTGACGTGGAAAGATATATGATGATAATATAACTCAATTCCTGTGATAAATGGGGAATATTGCAATGGCCTGAACATATTTCAAATATTTTCAACTTTCCGTCACTTCCCTATACCTATAAACTTTTGTAATATAAATTATAAAACTTCAATTGCGTGTTAGTGTGCAGTGCTTGCCCAGGTCTGTTTTCTTCATCTCTGTCTCACTGTGTCTCAAGGGACACAGATAACTTGACCACCTGTTCACTGAGTTAATGGACATGGCTGGTAGTATGATTATTAATTTTTCTTCACTATTTAGATCTCTTTATTGATGTGAGAATTAATGGTAAATGAGTAATAAATGCTCCTTCATGAGATGGGCAAATTACTGGAAAGCTACATAAATTAGTGATAAGGGCCACAAAAGCTGGTGAATAGTCAAAAACAACAACAAAATAATGAACTGAATTTGATTTCTGCCATAGGCCAATGGTCAAGATAGATTTTCTTTTCTCTAGTAAATAGTTGTGCTTTGATTCCAAAAGACATTAATTACTCTTTGAAGGAACAAATTCTTTATCCCAACTCTAGGACCAAGTACGAACTGTTGGTCCTTTAAGTACCAAGTCATTCATTCTTTCTACTAAGCCCTTGCAATGTTTTAATCCATTGGTTTTGGCATTCATATAGAGATCATAAATGTCCATTATTACCCATGCAAACTAAATCCACTGCCATTGAGTTGAATCCAACTCATAGCAACCCCCAAAGAGTTGCCAAGGCTGTAAATCTTTGTGGAAACAGACTGCCTTATCTTTCTGTCCATTGTTAGGGAAGAAGTGTTTTAAGTAAAACTTGTTAAGTCAATATCTTGGTTAATATAGAAAGCTTTTTGGAGACATTTTTCAGTTTTTTAAATGTTTGTGGTGTCACTTATGTGAGTAGCATGTAATTTATATAATGTTAAGTAATAATCATGGACCGTTATGTGTTCAGTATACAACTTTCCATTCCAGTAGAAAATTTGGGATTAATATGGCTATACAAAAACTGTTATAGAACCATTAGCCACTATTAATATTAAAATTATTCTGGCATATGTATTTATAGATAAACAGAAAATGTAATTGTTGTTCCTCTTAAATAATTTTGTGCATCATCAGCCTTTAATCTACCTACAGCATTTCATAAACTCGGAATGAATCAATGTCTAGTAGGGAAACCACAACAAGTTTCCTGGACACTTGTATACTTATGTGCATGCAACTCCCACCATGTAATTAGATTTTTGAATGTGAACATGTGCACACACATTTGCACACATATTATTTAGATATAATAAAATGGACTGCCTTGAATGTTAAACTAGTTACTATGATAATATGCCTCTGCAATAAGTATCTCATCTCAAGAAGTTTACTTAAAAAAAAAAAAAAAATTACTGGCTAAGGAGACTAGCTAAGGTTGCATTTGAGGTGGTATTCTGTGATTACTGATTACAGGGAGTGTGCTCTTAGATTTATCTATTTATCTGTATTTGCATTACATTTGTCCCTTTAGTTACTAGGAGCTTTTGATAGACGTGACTCCATAACAAGAAACAAATCAAAATGTAACAAATTCTTTCTTTCTCCTAAGACTCTATGGAATTATGCGACAAAATGTAAGGAATCTGTGTATTAGGTTTATAATTTTTTAAAAGCCAAGGTCAGTACATACATTTTTACATCTTAATTCATTTTTTTTTTTTTTTTTTCATCTGGACAAAGTGGTTATGGAACTTGAGACCTTTAAACAAAAAACTCATTCCCTCAGAAATTGGTTTAAACCAGGGGCAACATCCTGGAGTTTCAACAAAGCATACACAGGTCTAGGTATTGATTCTCTGGCAATAAATTCTAAGGTACTTAAGACTTTTCCCAATAACATGTTATATTGGATGATTTTCCAGACAGCCTACCAATATGCCAACTGAATCCCAAAGAAAGATGAGTTGCAGTTAGTTAGTTAGTTACAGTAGTTGAATAATATCACCCATTCCTAAATATCAATCTGCAGACTAGATAGTTCTGTATTATCTAGGAGTATTTTAAACAAATGGAGATTCTTAAACCCATCTGTTGGTAAGCCTGATTTAGAGGGTCTGGGATATGGCTTTATAGTCTGTTTTTTTATTTGGTTGTTTTTTTAAATTAAAAATTCTTCCCTGGTAATTCTTATGCAGTGCAGATTCAAGAGTCAGAGAATTGATATTCACTGGATATCCAAGTTATATTAGACAGTTCTAGCTGAAATTTTGTTGTTGTTAGTTGCCATCGGTTGGTTCTCATGAGGAACCCATGCACACTGGGATTAGACCACAGGGTTTCCATTGGCTTATTTTCTAAAGTAGATCACTTGGCCTTTCTTCTTTGGCCTTTCTTACTGTGGAAACTCTATCAAAACCTGTTCAGCATTAGAACACATAAGCCTCAACTGATGGAAAATTTGTGGCTATGCTTGAGGACCATTGGCTGGGAATTGAGCTCAGATCTCCAGTGTGGAAGGTGAACATTGTGCTACTGAACTTCCACTGCCCTCATCTGAACCTTTACTCATTAGCAAAAATGTTCCACACTTTAGTCTCTGAAGTAGCTCAGGCAAACATTGTGTGTCATATTTAAGCACTTAGCAGTAAATATAAAACTTTCAACATAACCTTGAGATATATTTTTCATTATCTTAATAATTAATTAATCAGGTTGATAGGTATAGCTGTATTTCCTTAGGGCTTGTGATGCATCAGGCCTGGTACATTCCTTGGCACACATTGCTACAGTTACACACACAACCCACTTATAAGGTGAGAATTGAGATCTCCATTTTATGGGGGTGAAGGTGAGGTTTCCTTAACAGGTTATATAACTTGTCAAAGGTTCATGTGAATTGTATTACTAAATGTTAAAATTTTGCCCTCTAATCAATTGTACCTAATGGAGTGTAAGTACATAAGCATATATAAATGCATAAGTATACGTAAGTATAAATTTTAATTTAATCTTTTTAAAAAGCATGTTCTTTTAGCTACCTGGAAGTGTATACTTCAAAAACATACTTTTGTCATGGTTCGAGAAAGTGAGTATCAGAGTCAGAATTGTGTTAACAAACAAAACCAAACTCACTGCCATCGAGTTGATTTTGACTCATAACGACCCCCTTTGGGTTTCTGAACTGGTAAATCTTTATAGAAGTAGATTGGCCAGTCTTCTTTCCGCAGAGTCGCTGGTGGGTTTGAACTGCCAACCTTCTGGTTAGCAGTCAAATGCCTTAGGCAGTGCACCACCAGAGCTCCTTTAACAAACAAAGTATATCCTGAAAATTAAATGAATTCTTGTAAGGCCTAGAATACATACTTTTCTGAAGAATAGATACCATTTATTTTGATTTGCCACAGAAAATCATTTATTTAAAGGGTTTCAATTATAATGAGATCAGTTTGGGATTATTTTTGTCTTGATTCAATGGTTGTGTTTTCCAAAAATAGGTAATATGATTGACATCTATCTTTTCTTTGTTCCTAGGTTTCAGATTCTAAATTCTGAAGCATGTGATAATTGTTTTAGAAGTTTGCCTGTACCATCACAAGGAATATAGCATTGTTCCGACAGAATGAAATAGATTTCAAATGTAGGGAAGTTCCAAGAGGAAGTTGGTGTTTCTTAGCAATCACATAACCATTATTTGTCTTGAGATTAGAATGCCATTCAGAAGTGGTTGTTAGTCTCACGCAACCTAAATATTGTTGTATCAGTGCTTCTGCTCAGTGACTTGATAAGATGTTAAATTTGCACTTTTTATTATGACTATTCCACAGGAGCTTTGTCCTATGCTGAGTTGGGAACAACTATAAAGAAATCTGGTGGTCATTACACATATATTCTGGAAGTCTTTGGTCCATTACCAGCTTTTATACGAGTCTGGGTAGAACTGCTCATAATACGGTAAGAGCATAGATAGGAAAATAATAAAGACAAATAAATCTGTTACATTATTTTTCTGAATCACCTTGGTTATTTTACTAATTAGGTATATGTATGTCATGTGATGATGTTATAAACATGTCTACTTTAGGACATAAAATCTGTGATAAAATACTTTCCTGTATTCATATTTTGAATACAGTTTTGCCACTGGGAGTAGTGTACAACCCTTGCTAAATTTTAATGAAAGTTCTTTTCTCTAATCTTCAATTATTCTCTTTGACATTTCTAGGAAAGATGTTGGTTTGAAAGGATATAAATCATTAAAATTCACCTTGATAAAAGATATTAATTTGTCTGACCAGAAACATTTAAATGTTATACTAGGAACTGGAGTTTTCTTATTGTAGATCATACTCTTAAGTCATTTAATTTTATATAATTTTTGTGACTAAGAAACTTCTGTGCCTAAAAACATAGTGTGTCATTGGGTCTTATACTTCACACACAAAAGAAAACATTTACGTAAATGACTCACTTCCTCACGTTAAACAAATCAATGAACTATAGTTATGAAAGCTTCTTTGATTTTATGGTTGTAACGATGTGTTCCCTTTTGTGATTACCTTGGTTTAAAATCAAAGCAAATAGTGCTAAGTCACTCTGAATAGCAATTTTCCTTAAACTTTGTGGGAAATTTATGATGTCATAGGAGTGGTTTACAATATCACAGTCCCTTGACATTGACTGTTTCAGTAATATGTGACTTGAATATTATGATTACAAAAGTTACTGGGAATAACTTGTGAAACCTGTTCTTACTGTAAACTTATCAGACATACACACCTAAGACCTCATTGAGCTTTTCTGTCTTCTGCAGCTTAGTGGCAAATGTAGATCTAGTAAGTATCAACTCTTCACTAATCATGATTTTTATGGTCCTAGGAGTATTTTTTGTTGCTTTTTTTTTTTTTTTTTTTAACAGAGAGCTTCAGAATAGTTCTTAATTCTTTGCTAAAACCTTTTTTCATTTCAAACAATCTCTACTATTTAAAAGTTGTTATAATAAAACAGGAAAGGGAGGGACCAGGAATGGCCTTCAGGACCTCAGGAGTTGCAGGATATCCAAGTTAAAAGGGGTGGGAGGCAAGGCTAGGCCCCAAGCCCCCTAGAGCCAGGAAAGGGAGGGACCAGGAGCAGCCAGGGACCAGAGGCAGGTTTCAGGTAAGAATTAGGTAAGAGCCTCGAGGATGCAGAAGTTTCCAAGGAGAAAAACTTTTCTGTCAGTTTGTCATACTGTGAGGCTTGTATATTGCTGTGAGGCTTGAGGCTGTACCACTGGTGTTTCAGACACCAGAAGAGTTGCACATAGTGCACACGTTTCAATGCAGCTTGCAGACTAAGACAAACTAGGAAGAAGGAGGAGGCCACCCGCTTCTCAAAACCTGGCCAGGGAAAACCTTAAGAATACCAGACAAACACTTCCTGAGACATTATTGGGCGACTTTATGAATACCTTGGAAACATTGACACAGTGCAGGAAGACTAGCCCCTTGGATTGGAAGGCACCCAAAATAGGGCTGGGAAAGAGCTGCATTATCAGAGTAAAATCAGCCTTACTCAAACAGATAAAGTAAAGCTTTCAAGACCTCCATGTGCTGATGTGGCATGGCTCAAATTGAGGAGAAACAGCTGTAAATATCCATTAATAATCAGAACATGGAATGTAGAAGTATGAATCAAGGAAAATTGGAAGTTGTCAAAAATGAAATGAAATGCATTAAGATTGTATCCTAGACATTAGTAAGCTGAAATGGACTGGTTTGGCCATTTTGAATCAGACAACCATGTGATCTACTATGACGGAAATGACAAATTGAAGAGGAGTGGTGTGGCATTCATCATCACAAAAGATGTTTCCAGATCTGTCGTGAAGTACAATGCTGTAAGTGATAGGATAATATCCATACGCCTACAAGGAAGACCAGTTAATACAACTATTAGTCAAATTTATGCACCAACCATCAAAGCAAAAGATGAGGAAATTGAAGATTCTTATCAACTTCTGCAGTCTGAAATTGATCAAACATACAATCAAGATGTGTTGCTTATCACTGGTGATTGGAATGGAAAAGTTGGAAACAAGAAAGAATCACCAGTAGTTGGAAAATTTGGCATTGGTGACAGAAATAACGTTGGAGATGGCATGAGAGAATTTTGCAAGGCCAATGACTTATTCATTGCAGATACCTTTTTTCAACACTACAAACAGCAGCTGTACATGTGGAGTACACAAGAATCAGATCAACTACACTGGTGGTTAGAGGCAATGGAAAAACTCAGTATCTTCAGCCAAAACCAGGCCAGGAGCTGATTGTGGAACAGACCATCAACTGCTCATATCCAAGTTCACTTGAAGTTAAAGACAATTAAAACAAGTCCATGAGAGCCAAAATATGATCTTGAATATATCCATCCTGAATTTAGAGGCCATCTAAAGAATAGATTTGATGCACTGAACACCAATGACCAAAAACCAGAAGAATTGTGGGATGACATCAAGAGCATCATCCATGAAGAAAGTGAGGTCATTAAAAAGATGAGAAAGAAAGAAGAGACCAAAATGGATGTCAGAGGAGACTCTGCAACTTGTCCTCAACTGAAGATTAGATAAAGCAAATGGAAAAATGACTAAATAAAAGAGCTGAACAGAAGATTTCAAAGAGCAGCTAAAGCAGACAAAGACAATTACAATAATGAAATGTGCAAAGACTTGGAGTTAGAAAACCAAAAGGGAAGAACCACTCAGCATTTCTCAAGCTGAAAAAACTAAGGAAAAAATTTAAGCCTCGAGTTGCAATATTGAAAGATTCTATGGGCAAAATATTGAATGATGCAGGAAGCATCATAAGAAGATGGAAGGAATACATAGAGTCATTGTACCAAAAAGAGCTGGTTGATCTTCATCCATTTCAGGAGGTGGCATATGTTCAAGAATCAATGGTATTGAGGGAAACAGTCGAAGTTGCACTGAGGGAATTGATGAGGAACAAGGCTCCAGGAATTTATGGAATACCCGCTGAGTTATTTCAACATTAGGAAGCCATTGGGGGCACTCAGTTGGTTATGCCAAGAGATTTGGAAGACAGCTACCTGGCCAACTGACTGGACGAGAACCATATTTGGACCTATTCCAAAGAACAGTGATCTCACAGAATGTGGAAATTATCAAACAATATCATTAATAGTGCATATAAGTAAAATCTTACTGAAGATAATTCAGTAAGATAATTAATTGCAACAGTATATTGACAGAGAACTTCCAGAGGTGCAGGCTGGATTTAGAAGTGGATGTAGAATGAGGGATATCATTGCTGATGTCAGATGGATCTTGGCTCAAAATAAAGAATACCAGAAAGGTGTTTACTTGTGTTTTGTTGACTATACAAAGGCATTTTATTGTGTAGATCATAACAAATTGTGGATAACATTGAGAAGAATGGGAATTCCAGAACACTTAATTTTACTTATGGGGAACCTGTACATAGACCAGGAGGCTGTCTTTCAAACAGATAAAGGGAACCCTGCATGGTTTAAAATCAAGAAGGGAGTGTATCAGGGTTATATCCTTTCACCATACTTATTCAATCTGTATGTTGAGCAAATAATCCGAGAAGCTGGACTTTATGAAGAATGTGGCATCAGGATTGGAGGAAAAGACATTAACAACCTGCGCTATGCTGGGGACAGAACTTTGCTTGCTGAAAGTGAGGATGACTTGAAGTACTTATTGATGAAGATTGAAGACTACAGTCTGCAGTATGGATTACATCTCAATATAAAGAAAACAAAGATCCTCACAACTGGACCTATAAGCAGCATTATGATAAATGGAGAGAAAAGATTGAAGTTGTCAAAGACTTCACATTGCTTGGTTCTACAATCAATGCCAATGGAAGCAGCAGTCAGGACATTAGACAACGTGTAGCATTGGAAAAGTCAACTGTGAAGGAACTGTTTCAAGTGCTGAGGAGCAAGGATGTCTCCTTGAGGACTAAGGTGCACCTGACACAAGCCATAGTATTTTCAATCGCCTCATATGCATGTGAGAGCTGGACAATAAATAAGGAAGACGAAAGAAAAGTTGATGCTTTTGAGCTGTGGTGTTGGCAAAGAATGCTGAAAGTACCGTGGACTGCTAAAAGAACTAACAGGTCTGTCCTGGAGGAAGTGCAGGCAGAATGCTCCTTGAAAGCTAGAATAGCCAGATTTCATCTCACATACTTTGGTCATGTTGTCAGAAGAGACCATTCCCTGGAGAAGGATGTCATGCTTGGTAAGGTAGAGGGTTGACGAAAGAGTGGAAGGCCCTCAATGAGGTTGATTGACACAGTAGCTGCAGCAATGGGATCAAGTGTAGCAAGAATCGTGGAGCTGGCTCAGGAAAAGGCAGTGGTTCGTTCTACTGTGCATAGGGTCGCTATGAGTCGGAGACAACTCGATGGCACTCAACAACAGCATAATAATAAAATAAAGGTAAAGAAGTATTTGTTCTTTCTGTAAAATCTCTTTACCTGAGATATTCCTTCTCCTTTCTAACTATCTGAATCTTATGTACTCTTCAAAAGTCAACTTAAATCCTGTTTTCCATAGCTAATTGCTTGTTCTCTCTGTTGTTTTCAAGTGCCATTGAGTCAGTTCTAACTCATAAAAACCATGTGTAGAACAGAAGAAAACACTGCCCAGTCCTGTGCCATGCTCACAATCATTGCTGTATTTGATCCCATTGTTGGAGGCACTTTATTAATCTGCCTTGTTGAGGGTCTTCCTTTTTTCACTAACCAAGCATGATTTCCTTCTCCATGGACTGATCCCTCCTGGTAACATATCCAAAGCACATGAGATGAAGTCATTCCATCCTTACTTCTAGGAGCATTCTGGCTGTACTTATTCTGAGACAGAATTATTCACTTTAGCTTGTAATATTTAATCTCTTAATTCTTCTGAAAAAATGAAATCTCAGCTTTTTATTTGCTATCTCAGCTTTTCATTTGATAGCTTTTATTCTTACTTAATTATTTTAGGTATCTGTGTTCTGTTTCTTATCAAACTTGGAAGCATTTTAAGCACGTAGACCAGGTCTCACACTTTTTTGTAACCCTTATACTACTGACTTCAGTATAGCGCATGTTATAGATACTAAGTTATTTTTGATTAAGTGGATGAAACTTTAATGTTGTAAGTAGCGTAGTGCCTAAGGCACTTGACTGCTAACCAAAAGGCTGGCGATTCAAACCCACCAGCCACTCCTTGGAAGGAAGGTTGGGCAATCTATTTCCATAGTGATAATGCCTCGGAAACCCAAGGAGGGGTCACTATGAGTCGGGTCCGACTCGATGGCAAACAACAACGACAAACATTCAAATGAGCACACTACTTATTTAGAGAATTGATCTGTTAACATGGTTGACTTTGTACTCTGATAGTTGGATTTGAATCCATCTTTAGCCTTGTGTTAGTTGTGTGACTTTGAGCTGGTTGCTTGGCCTTTCTTAGCCTCCTCTGTAAAATGAGCGTCATCATTCTGTATATACAGGTATAGCACTTACTCGTGAATTTATTCATTATAAAAACACTGAATGTAATAGGTACATCAAAGCAATCTAAAGAGAAGTATGCCATAGTGCCTACTCTGAAGTAAATCATAGTCAAATATTGCTTTAATTAAATGATTTAATTTAATTATATAATTTTAATGCAAAAGAATGGCCTTATGATGTGTGTGTATGTGTGTGCATGTGAGAATATGTGGTTTGACAGAGAAAATTACCTAGATACATCTAGAGGCATTTTAAATGGATTCCTTTGTCATAAAGGGCTCATAATGTTAAGCTGGCCTTTCATATGGGCAGAATAATGAATGACTGTAGAGATGAGCTAGGTATTTTTAACATGCTCATACCAAAACTCCTGGTACCCAAATACTTCACATTAAAACTATAATTCTATTAAATAACTCTTGCAATAAGTAAACTGTAAAATACCAATTTCAAAGAATGAAATATTACCCATTAATACACAGCAGGGCTCATTAGATTGAATTTACTCATTCAATATAAATTCTGTACATACTGAGTTCCTACTATGTGCAGAGGAGCTATGGTAGCGTAGTGTCTAAAGCATTTGACTACTAACCAGAAGGCTGGTGGTTCAAACCTACCAGCCACTCCTCGGAAGGAAGACTGGGCAATGTACTTCCATAGTGATATGGCCTCAGAAACCCAAGGAGGGGTCACTTTGAGTTGGATCTGACTCTATGACAGTGAGACTATATGCAGATGCTATAGTTAACATCAAGGATAAAATAGTTGATGAGGATAGACATAGTCTTTTACTCACAGAGCTCAGAGCCAAGTGGGTGAAATAGTCATTAATCACAAGGTCCTTTAAATGACTATAAAATTGCTACTCTTACAAGAATTGTGAAGATACAACCATGGAATTCTGTAAGAGTATCCTCTGAGAGCTATAACCAGTCAGAGGGAAAGGAAAACTTCCCAGGACTAAGGACAACAGACTAAGATTTGACATATAAAATACAGTCAATGAATTGAAGTGGCTCCAGAAAGAGGCTATTCAGATTCCTCTACTGGCAGGAAGCACTCCGAAGATGCAGGTAGATCTTAGATGAGATGGAACCTTGTTAAAGATTGTTAAGGATGCAATATAAAGGATTTCTGTGTATGCTGAACATGTTTAGAGGCACTAAAGTGATGTGATTGGATTTTCATTTACACATCAGAAAAAATCATAAATGATGGGGAATTGGAAAAATAATTTTGTTTGGGGAAAGAGAAGATAGTCTCTGGGAAAAGAACTTGCTGTTGTTGTTAGGTGCCATCAAGTCATTTCCAACTTCTATGTACAACAGAGCAAATCATTGCCCAGTCCTGAGCCATCACGGTCACTAGCACACTTGAGTACATTGTTGAAGCCTCTGTGTCACTGTAGCTCATTGAAAGTCTTCCTCTTTTTCTCTGGCCCTCTATTTCTCCAAGCAGAGAATCAAGAAATGCATGATGTTGTTCAGTACCAGCAGGGCAAGGTTGGGGAACTATACTAGTTATTGATTTTATGACAATCTAGGAATAAGACAAGAATGTTAGGTATCTAAAAGGAAGAGAAGCTGAGAAAGAAGATTGGTGTGATACATTTAGATTATTCCATATAATGACTTATGTATCTAAAGAATATATATTCATATATGCATATACATACAGTTTTTACTTATTGACATGGTGAGGTTCTAAAGACCACATCATCATGTGAATATAGAAGATGACCATATCAAATCACAAAACAGAAAATGACTACATCAATACAGAACAGGCAAATTTCATCATTACATAACTGCCAAACCACTGAGAATCATGGCCCAATAAAGTTGACATATAACCTTCACCATCACAGCCAGCATTACTCTCAATTCACACCTTGCCATTTGTTACTGTCAGACATGTGTCGTTAATGTGCAAAATAGTTGGATAGTAGATTTTTTACTGTTGAAATAAATGTGAGATGTCAGAAAGTGAGGACTAACGTAGTGCCTAAGGCACTTGATCGCTAACCAGAAGGCTGGTGGTTCAAACACATCAGCCACTCCTCAGAAAAAAGGTTGGGCAATCTATTCCGTAGTGATACCACCTCGGAAACCCAAGGAGGGGTCGCTATGAGTTGGGTCTGACTTGACAGCACGTAATAACAACAACAAATGTATTTGAAATAAAAAGACATGCATAGTTTTCACATAGAAATATTTGAAAAAATTAAAGTAGAATGGTTTGCTTCTTATTTTACTACATACTTGAATTTATTTCATTTTCTTTTCCATGTGTGTTTTCTCAACTATTTAAAATTATGAGTATGGAGGGGTCGCTATGAGCCAAATCAGACTCCATGGCAGTGTTTTTTTTTTTTTTTTTAATGTTGTTGTTGTTGTTGTTATGTGCCGTCGAGTCATACCTGACTCCTCCTTGGGTTTCCGAGGCAGTATCACTACAGAAGTAGGATTGCCCAACCTTCCTTCCGAGGAGTGGCTGGTGGGTTTGAACCGCCAGCCGTCTGGTTAGCAGGCAAGTGTCTTAGCCACTATGCTACCAGAGCTCCTTTTTAATAGAATTAAGAATAACCACTTGGCTCTTCAAGTTTTTATCCCTATAGAAAAAATATGAGTAATACAATGTCAGATATATAAGAATACGTTTGCAGAGAACAATTATGTATACTAAAAAACAAACAAACAAAAAAAACTTACTGCTGTTGAGTCAGATCCGACTCCTAGCGATGCCTTCTTGGGTTTCTGAGGTGGTATCACTACAGAAGTAGAGTGCCCAACCTTCCTTTGAGGAGTGGCTGGTGGGTTTGAACTGCCAGCCTTCTGGTTAGCAGTCACATGTCTTAGGCACTACGCTGCCAGAGCTCCCATACTAAAAACCAGCTGAGTTTCATATTTACTCAACTAACCATGACTCAACCCATTAGCTCTGTACCAGTTATCAAATTCATCCTATGGCTAGAGTTCAATTATTAACTTATGAAGAAAGAAGATGGCTTTTTGTTAGGCCCAGGTCTGTAAGGATGTCAAGTAATAAACTAGTTTTTTAAGGAAAAAAAATTCAAATATGGGAGAGCATTGGCAAAGTAGATAGTACTCAGCCATGTCCTCAAAGATATATGTAGTTTTAAAACAATTATTGTTATTGACAATGCTTCATTCATAATGTTGATGACAACCTAACTTGATAAATTACAGATTTTCATGTTTAATATGTCTTATATGTTAAATAATGATCCTTCAAGAAAGAAAAAAAGCTTAGTGAGAATGCTATTTAGTTTTTTCTTGTAATTAACTTCAATTTATTTCTTCTAGCCCTGCATCCACTGCTGTGATATCCCTGGCATTTGGAAGATATATTTTGGAGCCATTTTTTATTAATTGTGAAATTCCTGAACATGCAATTAAGCTCATTACAGCTGTAGGCATAAGTGAGTATTATAGTTATAAACATGAACACCAACAACAGAGTGATCAGGGAAAGTTTATGCAATCTTTTTGTATGGCAAGACTGCTGTCCACCTTGTGTTCTTTGAATTTATAATTTCTTACCAAATTTTATTTTGAGAATAAAGAAAATAATAAGGAGTTCAAGTGATCCCTGATATTATTTTACATATTAGCTTTTATATTCTATCAAGAGATATGACAGCTAATAATTTTAAAAAAGGAAACAAAAACCACATTTTAATAAAATAGTAGGTGGATTATATACCTAAGAGACTTTTAGAGATGAAATATAATTATTTTATTAAATAATTATCCTATCTGAGCAATAATGTGTTGAATTATAAGTTACTTATTCTCACGGAATTGTGTTTATGTGTTGGATTTCTATGTTGTTGTGATCATACATTTTATGGTATGAGTAGATGTTAATTTTAGCCTTATTATTTTAGCTGCCTATTGATGGTCGTGATAAGAATATTCTCTCAAGATTTGATTACTAGTTGTATTTCTCAATTAGGAGTTTTCCTTATGTTCTCCAAATTAGCAAGTTGTCCATATTTTTATCAATGAGCACAGATATTAGAAATGTTAGAAAAGGAAATAAAGAGGAGCATGTACAAAATTACTTGAATGGTGTGAAATTGAATATGGTTCTAGCTTCCTATAAAACTCTAAGTTCCAATTCCTTGAATATTATGTGAAATAACTTAATTCTAGATGTTGATCAATTTGAATATTATGGGAAAGAAAAACTTAATTCTAGATGTTGATCACCTTACTACTTTAAGAACCAAGATGATTTTTTTAAGTTTTAACTACTCAGAAAATCACATTGGAATAAATGAAACTCCTTCTGAGGAGTGGCTGATGGGTTTGAACTGCCAGCCTTCTGGCTAGCAAAGTATTTCATGAGTATACAAAGAGGAGACCTGGTGGTGCAATGGTTAAGTGTTTGGCTGCTAAACAAAAAGTCAGTGATTCAAACCCTTCAGTGGCTCCATGGGAGAAAAGAGGTGGGGATCTGTTCCTGTAAAGATTACCAAAAAAGAAAAGAAAAAAGAAAACAAATACAAACTAACTGGCATGGAGGCAGTTCTGACTCACAGCATTCTCCGATGGGTTTCAAAGCTGTAAATCTTTATGGAAGCAGATTGCCTCATCTTTCTTCCACAGAGCATCTGGTAGATTCAAACCACTGACTTTTGATTAGCAGCCATATTCCATAACCACTACATGATCAGAGCTCCCATAAAGATTACAGCCTTGGAAACCCAATGAGGTAGCTTTATTCTGTTCTATAGGGCTGTTATGAATCGGAATCCACTTGATGGCACACAACAACAATACAGTTTCAATAGAATAATGAAGAGAAAAATGCACATATGGTAGCAGAGAGGTGAGTGTTAGTTTGCAGGAAAGAGTTAGGAATTATACATAAATATATCTCTAGTGAATGTATTTCAGAATTAAAATACTAGGTACATTCTAGATTCCCTGACTTATGGACGAAAGAAATATGCACAATTCTTCTTCTATGAAATCTCTGGAAAAAAAAAAAAAAGATAAATACTTTAAGTGGATATTTTTAAGTTCTGGAGTGGTAGTAATTAAGAAAGGAGACTTGGTGACACAAATTTAAGCACTCAGCTGCTAACCAAAATCTTGGTCATTCTTACTCACCCAGCTGCTCCCTGGGAGAAAGACCTGATAAGTTATCCCCATAAAAACCCTATAGGAGACTTTTGCTCTGTGATAGGGTCACTATGATTTAAAAAATGGAGCCATAGTGGCACATGGTTAAAGCTCACGGCTGCTAACTGGAAGGTCAGTGTTTTAACACAGCAGCTTCTCCACATGAGAAAGATGTGGCAGTCTGCTTCCATAAAGATGTACAGCCTTGACAGCCTAATGGGTAGTTCAAATCTGTCCTATAGGGTTTTTATGAGTCAGAATTGACCGGATGTATTTTGTTTTCAAAAGTTAAAATAGCTTTATTGATTGAAAATGTTACATATTTATTATAAAGATTATAAAAATAATGCAGAAAAGTAAATAAGAAAAAATGAAAACTATTTAGGATTTGATTTTCTATAGGATTAAATCAATCTTTTGATAAATATTCTTTCAGACTTCTCCTTTTCTTTCTTTTTTTTTCTCTGTCTCATTCTGTACCCATCCATCCATTCTTTTACTTTTGTTTGTTACTTGGGTATCATTCCTTATATATCATAAACATTCATTCATGTAATAAATAGTGAACTGTTTTCTGGTTATCATGTTTTCAAATGATTGCATAGTAATTCATTACATGGTTGTACTTTCATTCTTCTTTAAGAGTTTAAGTTTATTCCAAATTTTTGCTACTGTATATTATGCATGTGAGCTCTGGTAGTGTAGTGCCTAAGGCACTTGATTGCTAATCAGAAGGCTGGCGGTTCAAACCCACTGGCCACTCCTCAGAAGGAAGGTTGGGCAATCTACTTCCATAGTGATACCACCTCGGAAACCCAAGGAGAGGTCGCTATGAGTCAGTTCGACTCGATCGCAAATAACAACAACAACATATATTATGCATTGGTAACATTTGTAGTGATTCTTAAATTCTGAAATGATCAAGTGAATGTACCAGGTGATGGACTCTGTGATTGTACATAGGGAAATCTTCTCTCACTTGCAACTTGAATGCTAAGAAGTGTGTAACTAACTCGTTTTATCCCAAGATGTTTCTTCATATGTATTTGTAATTGTAAAAGTAGGGAGACTGCAGCTTTTTAAAAATAAAGCTTATAGACAATAAATGCAAATTTCCAGAAAAAGTGGCTTTTTGTTGTTGTTAAAACTAAGTAAAGGTTGTGGAACTAGCAGAAAGTTGAAGTCTGCTGTCTACAATTACCTCAATCATTCCAGCAGGGTGCAGATGCCAGGGTCATGGAGAATTACCCTGCCTTTTTGGCTGAAGATAGTTTTTCTAACTGTGGATCCATTTAATTCATTCATTCATTCATTCACTCAACAAAAATGTGTTGATTATTTATCTGTTAAAGGCATAGAGCTGGCCACCAGCAATTTAGAATTGAACAGCTCTTGTTCTATTCTGAAAGTTTTCATGCTCCACAAAGAAAGGAGGGTGGATAAGAATGCTCATGAGAAACTGGTATAGCATCAGTAAGAAAAAGAAACTCTGCTGCTGCTTCAGAACCAGTGTTTGTCCTAGTTTGGGAACTCTTTTGTGTTAGTTACTTTTAACATTTTGTTCAAATGCAAAATATATCTTGGACTTTGCATACTCTTTTGGGGTAGGTTGAACAGCTCCTTGGTGTGCTAATTGGAAAGTGGAGAGGAAAACCAAGAAGGAAAATGCTGGCTAAGGCTAGTTCTAAGGAGCCATAGTGGTGCAATGGTTAAGTTCTGTGATTTGAACTCACCAGTCGTTCAGGAGGACAAAAGACCTGTCAATCTGCTCCCTTAAAGATGGCAGCTTAGGACATGTTATGGAACTATGTCAATAGTAGAATGACAATTCTACTATGTCATAGAGGGTCACGATGAGTCGGAATTGACTCAACAGGACACAACAGCAACAAGACTAGTCCTAAAGGTGAAGAATAAGATCTCAACTAACTTCTCTGTCTTGGCCTTTTTGAGTGAAATTCACAGTGGCAGGAAAAAATATATATATCACCATGAAGATAAGAAATAGCTTCTGTATTGAGATAAAGAATCTAATTTAGCAATCCCATTGCATTCTATGATGACTTCAGGATTCGATTGGAAGATACTTTTATGTGATTGTCAGAGCATTATAATATCCACTCTTATTGACAGACAGAAAGAACAACCCCAAACAGCAACCCATTGCCGTCAAGTCGATTCCAACCAATAGCGACCCTATAAGCCAGAGGACAAAGAACAAGAGAGGAATTATTACTATCTAGAGATGTTATGAAGAAATGCTGGTGGCACTGCAGTTAAATCATTGGGCTACCAACCAAAAAGTTGGCAGTTTGAACCCACCAGCCATGCAAAGTAGTTGCTTCTTAAATTTAATGTGCATAAAAATCACCTGGAGATCTTGTTCAAATGAATATTCTAGTTTAGTAGGTCTGGGGAAGGGTCTGCAAGTCTACAGTTACAACATCCTTTTAGGCAATACCAACACTGCTGGTTCATGGTCCACACTTTAAGTGACAAGGATATAAGATGTCTTCATTCCAAGGAGGGTTCACCATTTGTAACTCCATCTATTTGTTTTCAGCTGTAGTGATGGTCCTAAATAGCACGACTGTCAGCTGGAGCGCCCGGATTCAGATTTTCCTAACTTTTTGCAAGCTCACAGCAATTCTGATAATTATAGTCCCTGGAGTTATGCAGCTAATTAAAGGTATGGACTGAAAAGTAAATGGTTTTTAAAATACGTATCTGCTTTTGGTCTCTTCTAACACAAACTTTCGCTTGTACTAGCAGAATCCCTTAATTAGTCTCTGCTTGTGGAACTTAAACTCTATACTGTCATCTAATTGATTTGAAAGGCTGCTACATTGGGGAGAGAGAGTGAGTTGGTATTTACAGCTGAATGGCAACAGAAGGATTAAGATTGGGCTGAGCAACAAAATAAGGCATCGGTGAAATCTCTTGGTATAAACTGTTTAGAGTGAAAAAAAAAATATTGACAGTTAGTTTTAACTATAGATGAATATGCACTCTTATTTTCACTTAAAATAATTTATGGCTAGTGATGAATTAAAAAATAAAAGATAACTGGAAAGTAATGAAAGATGATCAGGAAAGAAATAATGAAACATAATGAAAGAATCCTTAATTTCTGGTGATTATTCCTTGTGCCTTAAGTATTCTGATAGAAGAGGGGTCAGATATGGAAAAATCTCTCTTAAAACATGACATATTATTTGTCAATAAAAATAGTTGTAAAAGCTTACAATTGTACTATGCTATTTTTAATGTGAAATATGCATTTCTACCAAAATATAACACTATCTCCTGGCTTTATTTGCCTTATTTAGTATTTAATAATAAAAGATGAGATGGTTGAGGGAATGATGCCATGATGTCATTTAGAGTGTTAGTTGTTTTAGAGGAGAAGGAACATACAATCCAGTGGAAACTGTTGGAAGAGGAAAAGGTCAGGTGAGTTATTTAATTGGCAACATATACTGTAGTAGGATATAAATAGGAAGATGAGATGAAATGAGAAAGGAGTGACATACAACTTCGGTATGCTAAGTATTTAATGTTTACATTGATATTGTCTGTTCCAAGAAAGGGAATTTATAGAGAAATTTAATGAAGTTGCAGGAGAATTACTCAAGGCAAAAGGAAATGCCAAAGTTCAGCAAAATCATTGCTGTTGGTCGAGGGATTAAACAATAACAAACCCTGAAAGATCTGTCACTCTGTAGCTGGGGAAAGGGAGCTGCTGTTGTCCATTTAATAAGCCTAATGGGAGATCTTAGAGCCCTGCTAGCTAAATGTGTGCATCAAATTCAGCAACCAGCCAACTCAGAATAAACACAGGAAACATTTTTAATGCTGTCGTTTACAGTGAGAAGACAAGAGCTTGCTCTTCTAATTCACCTTGGCCTCCACTGAGCTGGCTTACTTATATCTGATCCATTAGAAATATAGGCAAAATAATCTGTTTAGTTAGTATATTCTTTTTCTTGCCTAACTCTTTAGTCTTCTGTAAGGAATTTCTTCAGTTTTTAGAAAGTGCAGAAAATCTCTGTCATTGGCCTTATTTTTGCCCTAATTTAGGCTGTAAAGAATGATGTAATTGTCCTTAAACCTAAGAATTTCTTCTTTTATTATTTTATTTTTGCTGTAATGTAAGGCAGGGTTATAGACAGGGTTATAGACTATTGTAAATTTTTCCCATGTATATAGGTATGTGTGAGTTGGGCATAACTAACCCAAAAACCCACTGCCATCAAGTCAGTTCTTTCTTATAGAGACCTTATAGGATGGGGTAGAACTGTACCATAGGGTTTCCAAGACTGGAAATCTTTACAGAGGCAGACTGCTCATTTTTTTTTTTCCCATGGAGTGGCTGGTGCCTTTGAACTGCCAACCTTTTGGTTAGCAGCTGAATGCTTTAACCACTGCACCACCAGAGCTCCTTGGGTTGGAGATAAACCAAAGAAAAATCAAACTCTCTGCGGTCGAGTGGTTCTGACTCATAGCGACCCTTCCTTGGTTTCTGAGGGGGTATCTCTACGGAAGCAGATTGCCCACTTTTCCTTCTGAGGAGTGGCTGGTGGGTTTGAAGCGCCAACCTTCTGGTTAGCAGTCAAATACCTTAGGCACTATGCCACCAGAGCTCCTTGAGTTGGAGAAGTTGTTGTTGTTATGGGCCGTCAAGTCAGCCCCGACTCATAGCAACCCCTTCTTGAGTTTCCAAGGTGGTATCACTGTGGAAGTAGATTTCCCAACCTTCCTTCCAAGGAGTGGCTGGTAGGTTTGAACTGCCAGCCTTCTGGTTAGCAGTCAAGTGCCTTAGGCACTCTGCTACCAGAGCAAATGTTATTATATTGGGAGTTTTGAGAGCAGAGGTTATGATGTTATTGTTAGATGCTTTTGAGTTGGTTCTGAATTACAGCAACCCTATGTACAACAGAACAAAATACTGCTTGGTCTTGCACCATTGTCATAATCATTGCTATGTTTGAGACCATTGTTGCAACCACTGTGTCAATCCATCTTATTGAGGGTCTTCCTCTTTTTTGCTGACCCTCTGATTTACTGAGCATGATATCCCTCTTCAGGGACTTGTCTCTTCTGCTAATAAGACCAAAGTACCGAAAAACAAAAACAAATTCACTGCCAACGAGTCGGTTCTGACTCATAGAGACCCCTCCTTGGGTTTCCAAGGTGGTATCTCTATGGAAGTAGATTGATTGCCCAGTCTTCCTTCCAAAAATCTTTATGGAAGTGGATTGCCCCATCGTTCTTCTGTGGAGCACCTACTTGGTTTGAACCATCAACCTTCTGGTTAGCAGCCAAATACCTTAGGCACTGTGCCACAAGAGACTGCTTTTAGCACTTTCTACAGAATAATACTTTAATTAATACTTATGGTATAAATGCTTGGTTTGACCAGGTCTTCTCCATACAACTGACCAAATATAAAGTAAATTTTAATATTTTCAAGAGTATTCTTAGCAGGTCTATTTTCTCTATCGATAATAATAATAATGATAACGTGATTTCCTTTATCTCCAACTTGAGCACACATTTCTTACATTAATCTGAAACCTCCAAAATAGAAAAACTTTGCAAATATAAATTATACATTTATTTCTCCTCTAACCAGATCCTGAAAATGCCTGTATGTTTTGTATTTACTCACGAAAATGTGCTAAGCTTCCTGTGAATATCATGACTTTCATCATTTTGAGTCCTCTGTTACTTAGCCAAAAAAAATCCATGACATTCAGAAACACTTCTCTTTTGTAACACTCTCATTGAGACTTTTCACTGCAATTTTGCAAGATCTGTGCTTGAGATTTGGCCTGTACATAATTTTGATTTCTCTTATTATTTCATGCTGCAGCCTAAAGGATATTGCCCCTTTAGACCAAAGAAACCACAAATCAACAAAAAAAGAATATCAACAGACTTTTTTTTCCCCTTAAGTTAAAGTATTTATATTGCCCTTTAGTGTGGTTATGGAGATACTTTTAGGAAAACAGAAACGTTTCTCAATTTTAAAAATGAGCTTTACTTGGAATTGAGTATTTTCGGGCAAAAATCATTTGGTATACTGTTCTCTATTTTTGATCCCAATACATTTTATATCAATATGTATATTATGTCTGGGCAATGTGGGCAGCCACTGACTTTTGAGTTTGAAGAGAGAGATTCTTAAATATATATCACCCACCTTCAGTCCCTCTGTGTTTAGTTATGTGAAGACTAACTCGTCTCACATAACTTTGGTCATGTTGTCATAAGGGACCAGTCCCTGGAGAAGGATATCATGCTTGATGAAGTGGAGGGTCACCAAAAATGTGGAAGATCTTCAATGAGATGGCTTGACATGGTGGCTGCAACAGTGTGCTCAAGCACAGCAAGGATTGTGAGGATGGCACAGGACTGGGCAGTGTTTCATTCTGTTGTACATCGGGTCTCTGTGAGTGAGAGCTGTCTCAGTGGCATCTAATAACAACAAATCTTGAAACAAAGCCACATTTTCCATTTGGATAATTTCATTTACTATTTCTTTTTATTGACTGACTGAAGTAAATCTGAGTTTTTATTTAAAAAATATTCAGAGGGTATTTAAGAAAAAGATCAATTATGATTCACACAAGATAGAAAAATATGATGCATAAATGTTTAACTCACATTATTGATGAAAAATTTGTTACAATTTGTTTTAGAATTCAGTATAATTTTTTTCAATGTATTTGGAAGGAATGAACACTCGTCTTTAGAAAAGAGTCAGCAAACTTTTACTGTAAAAGGCAAGACATTTGCAGTTTATTGGCCATTTGATCATATGCTCTGTGTGACAACTACTCAACTTTGCTGTTACAATGAGTCATTACAGATAATATGCAAACAAATGAGCGTGGCTCTGCTCCAGTAACAGGAGGGTGGCAGCTATGATCCACATATATTTTGCCAATGCTTATTCTAGAAGATAGGTTTCTAATGAACTACAGGATATAAACAAAAAATAGAAAGAAAATTCAATGATGTGAGAAGGTAATTCTGGGCTTTCTTGGGGGGTAGGCTCTTGGATATTTCTTTGAATTTCTTCCCAATGATTACATTACCTTCGCTTTTAAGGCGCTCTGGTTGCATAGTGCCTAAGGCATTTGACTGCTAATCAGAAGGCTGGTGGTTCAAAACCACCAGCCACTCCTTGGAAGGAAGATTGGGCAATCTACTTCCATAGTGATACTGCCTTGGAAAAACCCGAGGAGGGATGGCTAAGAGTTGGAATTGACTCGAAGACAGTGAGTAATTCTATTATATTTCTAAAGAAGTCCTAGTAGCACAGTGGTTAACTTCTTGGCTTCTAACCAAAAGGTCAGCAGTTTGAATCCATGTGGTAGAAACATGTGGCTGTCTGCTTACATGAAGATTACAGCCTTGGAAACCCTACTGGACAGTTCTACTCTGTCCTATAGGAGCTCTGGTGGAGTAGTCCTCAGGCATTTGATTGCTAACTAGAAGGCTGGCAATTCAAACCCACCAGCCACTCTTCAGAAGGAAGATTGGGTAATCTGTAGAGATACCACCTCAGAAACTCGAGGACAGGTTGGTGTGAGTCAGAACTGACTCGATGGCATTGAACTCTGTCCTATAGTGTTGTTATGAGTCAAAACGATTAGATAGCAATGGGTTTGTTTTTTCTTGGGGTGGGGTAATGGAGTGGGTTGGGGGGGTTCACACTTCTAAATATTGAATTAGTCATCTTTCATGGTCAATTTCAGCCAAGAGTTTAGACATGTTCCAATAAAGAATTGTGTTTTAAATGTTATGTTCTCTTTCTTATGAATTCATTAAAAGAGAAATGTAGAGTAGAGTTAGTGATATTCATTGTACTTTTAGGATTCCTCTTAAATGGGTATATAGTAACAGATGAAGTTGACACTGAGCAAAAACTAAGAAATCTAGTCACTGGAAACAGTATGGTTACCAATAGTTCATCCCTACCTCCCATATAGTTAAAGAGTAAAATGTTTAAATTTAAAGAATGCATAATAACTAATTCATTAACAGGTTCTAAAATCTTTCTATTCTCATTGCAGGGCAGACTCAACACTTTAAAGATGCATTTTCAGGAAGAGATGCAAGTATTATGGGATTGCCACTGGCTTTTTATTATGGAATGTATGCATATGCTGGCTGGTAAGTTGATGTCTATAGGTCTGGTGAACTATAATGGTTTATTCGTTCCTTTATCTGCTTTAAATGCCAAACAAGGTTCTAGGCAAATATGAGTAGCCACAATCCAGTGTGATATTTTGTACTTGAAATGAGAAACGTCATCGTCCCTCCATCAGACCAATAAGTTCTGTGCAGCAGAATTAACAAATATATAACTGTCAATATATATATTTGTTAATTCTGCTGCACAGAACTTATTGGTCTGATGGAGGGACGATGACGTTTCTCATTTCAAGTACAAAATATCACACTGGATTGTGGCTACTCATATTTGCCTAGAACCTTGTTTGGCATTTAAAGCAGATAAAGGAACGAATAAACCATTATAGTTCACCAGACCTATAGACATCAACTTACCAGCCAGCATATGCATACATTCCATAATAAAAAGCCAGTGGCAATCCCATAATACTTGCATCTCTTCCTGAAAATGCATCTTTAAAGTGTTGAGTCTGCCCTGCAATGAGAATAGAAAGATTTTAGAACCTGTTAATGAATTAGTTATTATGCATTCTTTAAATTTAAACATTTTACTCTTTAACTATATGGGAGGTAGGGATGAACTATTGGTAACCATACTGTTTCCAGTGACTAGATTTCTTAGTTTTTGCTCAGTGTCAACTTCATCTGTTACTATATACCCATTTAAGAGGAATCCTAAAAGTACAATGAATATCACTAACTCTACTCTACATTTCTCTTTTAATGAATTCATAAGAAAGAGAACATAACATTTAAAACACAATTCTTTATTGGAACATGTCTAAACTCTTGGCTGAAATTGACCATGAAAGATGACTAATTCAATATTTAGAAGTGTGAACCCCCCCAACCCACTCCATTACCCCACCCCAAGAAAAAACAAACCCATTGCTATCTAATCGTTTTGACTCATAACAACACTATAGGACAGAGTTCAATGCCATCGAGTCAGTTCTGACTCACACCAACCTGTCCTCGAGTTTCTGAGGTGGTATCTCTACAGATTACCCAATCTTCCTTCTGAAGAGTGGCTGGTGGGTTTGAATTGCCAGCCTTCTAGTTAGCAATCAAATGCCTGAGGACTACTCCACCAGAGCTCCTATAGGACAGAGTAGAACTGTCCAGTAGGGTTTCCAAGGCTGTAATCTTCATGTAAGCAGACAGCCACATGTTTCTACCACATGGATTCAAACTGCTGACCTTTTGGTTAGAAGCCAAGAAGTTAACCACTGTGCTACTAGGACTTCTTTAGAAATATAATAGAATTACTCACTGTCTTCGAGTCAATTCCAACTCTTAGCCATCCCTCCTCGGGTTTTTCCAAGGCAGTATCACTATGGAAGTAGATTGCCCAATCTTCCTTCCAAGGAGTGGCTGGTGGTTTTGAACCACCAGCCTTCTGATTAGCAGTCAAATGCCTTAGGCACTATGCAACCAGAGCGCCTTAAAAGCGAAGGTAATGTAATCATTGGGAAGAAATTCAAAGAAATATCCAAGAGCCTACCCCCCAAGAAAGCCCAGAATTACCTTCTCACATCATTGAATTTTCTTTCTATTTTTTGTTTATATCCTGTAGTTCATTAGAAACCTATCTTCTAGAATAAGCATTGGCAAAATATATGTGGATCATAGCTGCCACCCTCCTGTTACTGGAGCAGAGCCACGCTCATTTGTTTGCATATTATCTGTAATGACTCATTGTAACAGCAAAGTTGAGTAGTTGTCACACAGAGCATATGATCAAATGGCCAATAAACTGCAAATGTCTTGCCTTTTACAGTAAAAGTTTGCTGACTCTTTTCTAAAGACGAGTGTTCATTCCTTCCAAATACATTGAAAAAAATTATACTGAATTCTAAAACAAATTGTAACAAATTTTTCATCAATAATGTGAGTTAAACATTTATGCATCATATTTTTCTATCTTGTGTGAATCATAATTGATCTTTTTCTTAAATACCCTCTGAATATTTTTTAAATAAAAACTCAGATTTACTTCAGTCAGTCAATAAAAAGAAATAGTAAATGAAATTATCCAAATGGAAAATGTGGCTTTGTTTCAAGATTTGTTGTTATTAGATGCCACTGAGACAGCTCTCACTCACAGAGACCCGATGTACAACAGAATGAAACACTGCCCAGTCCTGTGCCATCCTCACAATCCTTGCTGTGCTTGAGCACACTGTTGCAGCCACCATGTCAAGCCATCTCATTGAAGATCTTCCACATTTTTGGTGACCCTCCACTTCATCAAGCATGATATCCTTCTCCAGGGACTGGTCCCTTATGACAACATGACCAAAGTTATGTGAGACGAGTTAGTCTTCACATAACTAAACACAGAGGGACTGAAGGTGGGTGATATATATTTAAGAATCTCTCTCTTCAAACTCAAAAGTCAGTGGCTGCCCACATTGCCCAGACATAATATACATATTGATATAAAATGTATTGGGATCAAAAATAGAGAACAGTATACCAAATGATTTTTGCCCGAAAATACTCAATTCCAAGTAAAGCTCATTTTTAAAATTGAGAAACGTTTCTGTTTTCCTAAAAGTATCTCCATAACCACACTAAAGGGCAATATAAATACTTTAACTTAAGGGGAAAAAAAAGTCTGTTGATATTCTTTTTTTGTTGATTTGTGGTTTCTTTGGTCTAAAGGGGCAATATCCTTTAGGCTGCAGCATGAAATAATAAGAGAAATCAAAATTATGTACAGGCCAAATCTCAAGCACAGATCTTGCAAAATTGCAGTGAAAAGTCTCAATGAGAGTGTTACAAAAGAGAAGTGTTTCTGAATGTCATGGATTTTTTTTGGCTAAGTAACAGAGGACTCAAAATGATGAAAGTCATGATATTCACAGGAAGCTTAGCACATTTTCGTGAGTAAATACAAAACATACAGGCATTTTCAGGATCTGGTTAGAGGAGAAATAAATGTATAATTTATATTTGCAAAGTTTTTCTATTTTGGAGGTTTCAGATTAATGTAAGAAATGTGTGCTCAAGTTGGAGATAAAGGAAATCACGTTATCATTATTATTATTATCGATAGAGAAAATAGACCTGCTAAGAATACTCTTGAAAATATTAAAATTTACTTTATATTTGGTCAGTTGTATGGAGAAGACCTGGTCAAACCAAGCATTTATACCATAAGTATTAATTAAAGTATTATTCTGTAGAAAGTGCTAAAAGCAGTCTCTTGTGGCACAGTGCCTAAGGTATTTGGCTGCTAACCAGAAGGTTGATGGTTCAAACCAAGTAGGTGCTCCACAGAAGAACGATGGGGCAATCCACTTCCATAAAGATTTTTGGAAGGAAGACTGGGCAATCAATCTACTTCCATAGAGATACCACCTTGGAAACCCAAGGAGGGGTCGCTATGAGTCAGAACCGACTCGTTGGCAGTGAATTTGTTTTTGTTTTTCGGTACTTTGGTCTTATTAGCAGAAGAGACAAGTCCCTGAAGAGGGATATCATGCTCAGTAAATCAGAGGGTCAGCAAAAAAGAGGAAGACCCTCAATAAGATGGATTGACACAGTGGTTGCAACAATGGTCTCAAACATAGCAATGATTATGACAATGGTGCAAGACCAAGCAGTATTTTGTTCTGTTGTACATAGGGTTGCTGTAATTCAGAACCAACTCAAAAGCATCTAACAATAACATCATAACCTCTGCTCTCAAAACTCCCAATATAATAACATTTGCTCTGGTAGCAGAGTGCCTAAGGCACTTGACTGCTAACCAGAAGGCTGGCAGTTCAAACCTACCAGCCACTCCTTGGAAGGAAGGTTGGGAAATCTACTTCCACAGTGATACCACCTTGGAAACTCAAGAAGGGGTTGCTATGAGTCGGGGCTGACTTGACGGCCCATAACAACAACAACTTCTCCAACTCAAGGAGCTCTGGTGGCATAGTGCCTAAGGTATTTGACTGCTAACCAGAAGGTTGGCGCTTCAAACCCACCAGCCACTCCTCAGAAGGAAAAGTGGGCAATCTGCTTCCGTAGAGATACCCCCTCAGAAACCAAGGAAGGGTCGCTATGAGTCAGAACCACTCGACCGCAGAGAGTTTGATTTTTCTTTGGTTTATCTCCAACCCAAGGAGCTCTGGTGGTGCAGTGGTTAAAGCATTCAGCTGCTAACCAAAAGGTTGGCAGTTCAAAGGCACCAGCCACTCCATGGGAAAAAAAAAAATGAGCAGTCTGCCTCTGTAAAGATTTCCAGTCTTGGAAACCCTATGGTACAGTTCTACCCCATCCTATAAGGTCTCTATAAGAAAGAACTGACTTGATGGCAGTGGGTTTTTGGGTTAGTTATGCCCAACTCACACATACCTATATACATGGGAAAAATTTACAATAGTCTATAACCCTGTCTATAACCCTGCCTTACATTACAGCAAAAATAAAATAATAAAAGAAGAAATTCTTAGGTTTAAGGACAATTACATCATTCTTTACAGCCTAAATTAGGGCAAAAATAAGGCCAATGACAGAGATTTTCTGCACTTTCTAAAAACTGAAGAAATTCCTTACAGAAGACTAAAGAGTTAGGCAAGAAAAAGAATATACTAACTAAACAGATTATTTTGCCTATATTTCTAATGGATCAGATATAAGTAAGCCAGCTCAGTGGAGGCCAAGGTGAATTAGAAGAGCAAGCTCTTGTCTTCTCACTGTAAACGACAGCATTAAAAATGTTTCCTGTGTTTATTCTGAGTTGGCTGGTTGCTGAATTTGATGCACACATTTAGCTAGCAGGGCTCTAAGATCTCCCATTAGGCTTATTAAATGGACAACAGCAGCTCCCTTTCCCCAGCTACAGAGTGACAGATCTTTCAGGGTTTGTTATTGTTTAATCCCTCGACCAACAGCAATGATTTTGCTGAACTTTGGCATTTCCTTTTGCCTTGAGTAATTCTCCTGCAACTTCATTAAATTTCTCTATAAATTCCCTTTCTTGG